GTGTTTTCTATCATTTGTCAATGTATAAATGTAAGGGATTATAGCTGAAAATGGCAACTTTTGGGCCCTAATATCAATAAAAATAATCATTTTAATATAATTTCCAAAATAGGTTAACCTTTTAAAAAAACATATCAAATAAGGGCAAAATCAATGTTCATCTTCTTCCTCCTCCAAACCACTTCCGCCCCAGCTCCGCGAACCTTAATGACCACCATCCATCAGCATTGCCGCCTCCGCCCACCTCCAGCAATGCTCATGTAAAATATTGTTTTTCTGTGGATTTGGAGAAGAAGGTCACGGGGCTGCTGCTATTCATGTAAAATGTTGTTTTGGGCCCTAATATCAAACGGTGCTACTCATGTAAAATATTGTTTTATGAGAAAATGCTCATGTAGACAGTGTGGGACTGCTATTGTTGAATGGGCCGCCTCCACCCATTCAACAGTCTGACGAAGAAGAAGGTCGAGGGACTGGGGCGGTGGTCGATCTGGAGATCTTCATCTTCTTGGTCATCGAAGCAGAAGGAGGTGGGTGGCGTTGGTGTTGGTGGGTGAAGGCAGAGGCAAAGGTGGGTGGTAGATTAGCATTGCCGGAGGTGGGCAAAGGCAGCAATGGCAGTGCTGATGGATGGTGGTCTTTGAGGTTCGCGGGGCTGGGGCGGAAGTGGTTTGGAGGAGGAAGAATATGAACAGTGATTTTTCTCTTATTTGATATATTTTTTAAAAAAGTTAACCTATTTTAGAAATTATTTTTATTGATATTAGGGCCCAAAAGTTTCCCTTATCAGCTACAATCCCTAAATGTAATGTTACCAAACACAGGCAAAAGTGAACCAGAGTGCAAATTTACTCTGAACTGGGATTACACTCCATTTTACATCATTACCAAATGCAGCCTTAGCAAATGACATGCCAGCCCAAAATAGGTTCACATTTTTCTTTATCACCCTCATTTCATATGACAAATTCATTCAACAACGATTCTTCATGAGACAAATGGAAAAGTTCAGCCTTTTTTTCTGAAAGCTTTTTGCTTCAGTCTAATCGAGGGTAGTGAAAGACAAGAACACTATTGTAAAATTATTGATTTGGTGCATTTGAATGAGAGCTATTGTATTACAATTGCTTTTAAATAAAAAGAGTCCTATTTATCAACAATATATATATATATATATATATATGGAAAATATCTATGATACGAAAAAGATATGGTATGGGAAGAGTTTTGACCAATTAAAACCCACCCATGAATTTTGATAAATAACACCTAATTGACTATCACGTTTTATGATACCAATTGATTGGTAAAAAATTTCACATATGATATCTTTCCCATATCATAGTCGAACCCATATATATATATGGAGCACACAAATCAATTGTCATAACAAATTGACAGGTACAAAAGTTTCCCCTTATTTTTTATTCTTTCTTTGTTATAGATTCAAAAGTATACAATTTCTATATTGATGAAATATGGGCTTGATAGATAAGTTAATCAAAGCCCCTCATTAAACAAAAATAGATACCTATGATATCATGGTGTACCAAATTCCTCTATATCTATGGGTTCTAAACCATAAAAAACGAGAACAAAATACATCACTACCTATATCTGCACTACTACTAGAAGTACAAATGAGATTGTGAAACTTTTTCTTCTAATCTTAAATACCTCTATTTTTTAATTTGCCCCTCTCTAATTGTGAAGGCAGAAAATATAATTTGAACTACTACTTTTTATAACATCAAATATAATATTTCTCACCAAGTATTTAAGGCATTATCTCTTATTCTCTCTCATTAAGGTGTTGTTTATCACTAAATTTTATTAATTAGATATATATCTAATACTTTTAACAATATAAAATCCATATTTTTTAAAAACCAATCAAAAAATTAAATTGTTATTTGGTCTAGGTGGCATGCAAGCAATTCAATCATCAAAGCCAAATGAGTTAATCCATGATATTATAGTTAAATAATAAAATTTTAATAAAAATAAATACATGAAATTATGTAAATAATAAATTGTATAAAACATCTCTAATGTTTTATATTAATCATATTAAAGAAAAATAATTATTTTCATATAATTATTTTATTGATGATGAAAAAGAAATACAAAAATTAAAAATGACCCAAAAATTAATTTATTTTCATAGTTGGTATGGATCAATCATTCATGTCAAATGCGGCAATCCTTGATGTCATAATTAAATAGTAAAAACTGAAAAAAATATTAAATACAAAAATTTTATAAAAGAACATATATATATATACATCTTTAACATCCTATATTCATCTTATTAAACAAAAATAAGTGTAACAAATAAGAATATTTTTAATATATTTTTGTACACATATAAATATAAAAATGTAAAAAGAATTAAAGAAAAAATGAATATATATATCATTACCATCATCATCTGCATTTGATTTAAAATTGCCATACACATGCAAAATTTTCTAGTGATGTAAAAAAAAGGATAAATTGATGAAACTTCCCCTGAAGTTTATGACCATTGCTAAAATCTCCCCTAATATTTGGTAGTTGAAATCACGTCCTATGAACTTTCTAACATAATTGCAATTAAATCCTGATGATGCGCATTTCGGCATCTCCCGGCTAGTAGGTGACTCGGGTGCCTGACTGAATAATCCCTACCTGGAATGTGGCATGGATGCCTAGCTGAATTGTTCCTACCTGGAAGGTGGCTTGGATGCCTAGCTGAATGGTGACGAACTGGAGAGGTGGCTCTGATGCCTATCTGAATGGTGACGAGTTGGAGAGGTGGCTCTGATGCCTAGCTAAATGGTGGCGAGTTGGAGAGGTGGCTATGATGTCTAGTTGAGTGGTGACGAGCTGGAGAGGTGGCTCTGATGTCTAGCTAAGTGGTGACAAGCTGGAGAGGTGGCTCTGATGCATAGCTAAATGGTGACGAGCTAGAGAGGTGGCTCTGATGTCTAACTGAGTGGTGACGAGCTGGAAAAGTGGCTCTAATGTCTAGCTGAATAGTGACGAACTGGAGAGGTGGCTCTGATGCCTAGCTAAATGGTGACGAGCTGGAGAGGTGGCTCTGATGCCTAGCTAAATGGCGATGAGCTGGAGAGGTGGCTCTGATTCAGCCTGCAAGGAAATTGTGTCAGAGTGCCCGGGTTACTTTACCCGGGGTGGGCACTCCGATGCTTAAGTTAGCGAATCAGAGATTTTAAGATAGCTAAATGTGAGAGAGCTGTGAGAACTAAAAATTGTGCATCTCCCCCCTGGAGTTGGAGGTAAGGCCTTTATATAGGCATTGTTTGGCGTGAGCATCACGCAAACACGTCCGGGATCTCTGAGAGGACATGCCTAACTGCTCCAAAGTCTTCGGAGGTAGTCGTGCACGTAGGCCAATCTTTGTGCCTTACTCGATTTCTCCCAAAACATTTGGTGTGAGAGCTGACTTCCAAGAGACCCGGAAGTGATGGGATGCATGCAGAAATCGATGGCGAGCACGTCTCGTAGGTCGCCACCTGGACCTCAATCAGGTCGGCAAGCCCTCGAGGGAGGTCGCTCCCCACGTCGAGGTTGCTTCAGGCGATACTGACGAGGTACCATAGGTCGGGCCTAGATGAGGTGCTGCTAGCCGCCCTGAGTCGTGGACGAGGTCGTTGGCTAGGTTTCTACCAAGTCGGCGGTGGAGGCAGGTCGCCAGGTCGGCGCTAGAGGCAGGTCGCCAGGTCGGCGACAGTGCCAGGTCGCTAGCTAGGACTCCATCATTTTGGCTATGGCAAATTGTCGCCTAGGTGGTTATGAGTGTCACTCAATTGTTCCGAGATGCCATGTGTCATGATGTTAGTGGAGGGCCAAATTTGCCCTCATCAAATCCCTTATGTTAAAGCCCTCTAATAAAAAAACACAAAAAAAAAATTCCAAAATATCCATACGATTACTATTGAAGCTTATTTCTATTAGAAAAAAACAATACAAGCTTTATGGACAACAAAAAAAAGAGAGTTTGAAGTTGTTGTTTTACCTTTGAGAGATTGATATGAAGGGAAAAATTGGAAAACAAAGCAAAGTTGAAAAATAGATAGGAGAGGTTTGAGAGGGTGATTAATGTGAAGACCAAACTTAGAAAATAAATATTTTGGTCAAATGGGTATTTTGGACATTTTAAAAGGATTCAGAGGAGGTTTCAGCAAAAGCTAAAAGATCTAGGGAGGTTTCAGCCATTTAGCAAAAAGAAAAAAAGGTGTCACACTCCACCCACGATAAAGGATTTTTTTCCCAATTTGTATATTTTTTTTTGAGTTAACTTTGGCTGTTGGGGCCAACAGCCTATGCTGCTGAATAGGGCTGAGAAACGGGATCTGATTATCCGATTTTGAATCCAAATTTGACCAATTTATAATTGGATCAAATATGGATATACTCCTATCTAATATGATAATCTGATTTGATTCGATTTAAATATATATGCTCAGATATAGTTAAAAATATATTATATCTGTGATTGAAGTTTGTCTTAATATTATATTTTCAGTAAATTGTCACATGTTCAAAGTTTTAAAATAAGTAGTTTTTAATTCATTTTGTTCATAAAATATAATGTTAAAGTCATTTTTAGCCCATCTTATTAATAATATATAATATTTTGGTCAATTTTAGTCTAATTTATTTATGTTATTTAATATCCGATTATAATCTGAATTCCGTTTCAAATCCATTATATATCTGATAGATATGATCCGATTCGAATTCAAATGTAATCAAATCAAATTTGGGTATGCCTATTATCGGGTTCGGTCCGTTTGCAGCTCTACTATTTTACCCCACTTTCTGATAATGTGGCCTCACAAAAATGTTCTCAACAGCAGATGGCCAGATGCTGCCCCCAACAGCCAAAGTTGGAATTGGTATCAGCGCCTCACAGGGAGGCGCCCCACAGCACATTCCGATTTTGTATTGAAAATATCTCACGATGATGTCTCATCTCTCTTAGATGGAGAGATGTTTCGAATACTAGGTCGAAATGTGCTGTGACAATCGGAATGTGCTGTGGACGATTCACCGCCTCCCCTCTCCCTATCCTAATTACATTTGTGATTTGCCTAAAATTTTTTAGAATACCTTACGTTGCCACGTGTACCATCCGTAGATGGATCTCACGTTTTACCGGACCGGCAATTCTGTAGCATTCGGCGATTCTCTGATGGAGCTTCAGGGAATCAGGGGTTAAGACATAACACAATAACCCACAAACACAAAGGATTCAAGGGAGTACGCCAAAACGTTGCCTCTCTGTATTCGACAGCCTCGGTTGTCAGCCGTCCTCTCACTGCATGGCACGTCAATTTACCCAAAAATGCATCTACCACTGATACTGAGCCCTTTTGAATTTTGACCAAAAATTTCCCGACCTGAATCATGTGCACAGCACAGGCTGTATTCTCCCAAATTTTCCGTCTCTCTTCCTGATTATCGTTATCCGGAGTCCGGACCACAGTACCACACTACAGCAGTTACTCAACTTACTCCGTGTCCAAATTCGACTGCAACCATGGTTCTGTTACTGGGCCTGAAACCCTGCAGCAGTCTTCCTTTCTCACTTCGACAACCTCTGTCATTCCCACAAAAAAACAGGCTTCGGTTATTAAATAGGAAGGCTAGATTTCGGCTCTCTCCTCCTATCGTCTGCCTTAAAAGCAGAGACAACCGTATTTCTTCTCCTAAATCTGCCTCAATTGATGGATTCTCTGTGTCGAAATTCTCAGGAGAGGTTACCGATGGAGAGAACAATGTTGGATTTCTGGAGACTTGGCGAAGATGGGTTGTGTTTCTTCGATCGGTCGTGCCTGGAGGGAATTGGTGGAGGTTATCCGATGATGTCGAAGTATTTACTACAGCAAAGCCTGTAACTGTATTATTTGCGCTTCGTCGGATGTGGGAGCTGGTTGCCAACGATAGATGGATTATATTCGCTGCATTCGCTGCTCTAATTCTTGCAGCGGTGCGAGTTCTATATCCCTCTTCCATAATTGTACCTCATTTTGCATTAATTGTTGTCAAATAACTACCAAATAGTTTCCATAATGCGAATTAACTAACATATGAATATCCGTTCATATAGGTAAAAGCTGACACTTATATACACAAAATGACAAAACTTATTAGGATTTGATGGTTTACGCGTGGCCGTGATGTATGAATGAATCATCGCCATTTGTGTATTCACAGAGTATTGCGAATGTAGTTTGATTGTTCAGTTTGAAACCGATAGGTGTAAAACTTGTATGTGGACAATTCATTGGTGCAAGTTACTAGGACACTCTATTCCAATTGTACATGTGATCTCCTCCTAGCTAAAAGAAAATTTCCTTTTATCTCATACAGATTAGTGTGTAGCAGCACTTCATCAAATATGGATAATTTCCTTTCCTCATATCTGAAATTTATAATATTGTATTATTTCAACTTTTGTTTTGAATGGATACTGAGTTATGCTTATTTATTGCAGCTTTCGGAGATCTCAATACCACATTTCTTAACAGCATCAATTTTCTCTGCACAGAGCGGTGAAACCATGGTTTTCCGTAGAAATGCACGACTCTTGATTATACTATGTTTATCTTCAGGAATATTCAGGTCAAAATCTTGTTTGGACAAAGCCACAAAGTTCCCTTTCTATCTAAATTATGTATTAGTTCTTTTATTTTGCAATTTATTGGTTTTGTTCATTATTATTGGTGTATCAGAATTAAAATACAACATTTATCCACAGTTGCCATTAGCAGACCATGTGATATTGTTCTGCTCATTGTAGCTTACCTACCAAAAACGGGAGCTCCATTTTGAATTTTTTTATTGTATGGATACAAGCCAAAAGAGGAAAAAAAAAGCTTTTTCACTGGCTTCCTCAATTAATGAATTGTTTCACTTATAAGCCAACCAGTACAACAGCTCTTATAACAAGCAAATCCTCAAAACAACAAAAGAAACAGACTTTTACACACTACAGCCCGGCCCATGGGCAACCCCATTCAAGAATTTCCCTCCCCACCACCCCGGTTCTTGCCAACAAATCTGCTAACATTATTTGCACTTCTGGGGGACTCCACTCCATCAACCTTCTATGTTTACTCATTTGGAAACTCGCCACAGTTTGTCATTCCCTTAACATATCATTTAGACACACCCCTTTAAATTCCTTCATTGACAAAGCCCAATATGCAACACTTATCATTGTAAGTTCTATCATTCCCTCCACCTACTTATATTTCTCCTAAAAAATTATTGCATTGATTTTATGCCTTCAAGTACAGCACCCATCACTTCTGTTTTAAACAAATCCAGTTCAATCTCTTCCCACCAAAGAGTAAAAATGTTGCCACAGACGAGAGGCATGGGAACAATGGACCAGCAGGTGGTTGGTGCTCTCCCCATTCTTCAAGCATAGGATGCACAAATGTGGATAGAGGCAAACTTTTTCACCTCCTTTGGAGTCTGTCAGAGTTAATGATTTGGTTAGCAGCTTCCCAACGGAAAACCTTGACTTTAGGGGGAATTGGCCCCTGCCACGCCTCTCTAGCAGGGAAGGAGGGTTCCTCTAAAACTGGATAAAAGGTTTTAAAAAAAGGAAGCACAAGTAAAGGTACCCTCCACAGTGGAAGCGCACACTCTCTCATCCCCAACCGCAGGAGAAAGATTAACCTCTTGAAGGATGTCAATTAACAGAATCACCTCACAAGTTTCATGATCTCACATAGATCTCCTCAAATCCCAAATCTCACACCAACTCATTCCCATCCAAGACTACCAATTCAGAAATTGCTTTGTTTTTGAAACTCGATAGGTTGTAAATTCTGGGGAAGGACTGACAGAATGGAGAATTTTCTCACCAAGTGTCTTTCCAGAACTTCACCTCCTGTCCTGAAATAGCATCATATCTAATAATTTTCAATCACAATAAGGCAGTGATCTATCAAAAAGGTTATGTGTTTTATTGATAAAAAAGGAAAGGAAAACAAAAATATCATGTGTTTTGGGACGAAGTCATACCTCTGGTTCTTAACTACATGCAAGTTGTAACTGAATTGGAGATGTATTTTACCCTTTTATTGTTAACTATTACTCTTTGATGAATATTTCTATTTTTTTTATGTTCCTCATTCCCACTTAGTATGAAGATTGGGAATAAACTTGTTTACAAGGTACTCTCATTTGAGATGGTTTCTAGACAATTCGTAATAATGCTAATAGACCACTGTGCAGTAGCATTTAATTTCCAAATAAATCTGCAGAAGGGATGATCTTTAATGGTCTCAATCTTGGAAATTCTCCATCCTCATGAATATATTTACATCAGATTGATCACCAAGTTTACCATTTAGTAATACCATTTTCAGGCATAGGAGATTTCCCATACATAAAACTTCTCCTCTATATGTATGGAGTAGATATAAAACATGAACTGTTAGTGTTATGGTTTCACAGCAAAGAATGGCCTATGATTAGGCACTGATAGCATATTTTCTTTCTGTGAAATTCAGTGGTCTACGGGGTTGCTGTTTTGGTATTGCAAACATGATCCTGGTGAGTCCCTGACTGGCTCATGAGTTCCCGTCTATGAAAGTTGAAAGATGACTTTCTTTTGAGAACTTGTCCCTTTAATCTTCTATGCTGCATGACATATATCTGGCTCCCAATGCATTATTCCATAATTTGCAAGAGCTAACCACCAAATGTTGAGCCATCTAGTCCAAGATTTTCATTGACTGCTACTTGGTCATCCATTAGACAGTAAAGAAGAAATTGATTGGTACACGTCCAAATTTTCTTTTAAACATGCATTTTTAATTACTGCCTTAAAATGTGATGTGCCCAAAGCACCTTCAGAACAGGGACAGCTAAAAGCAAAATCTGGTTTCACTGTTTGGAGAAAAATATCATGGCATTGACAAGTTAGGAATATATAGATTAAAATTTACAGCTTCTAGGCTATTGACCATCCAAGAAGTGGCTGTAATTGATGCATTACTGAACCTGTTCTTTGTATGGTTTTAATGTCTCAAAGATTTCATTCCTTTATTATTGCAGCACACTTTCCAGGACTTTGAATTTATCCTAATTGTTATCTGGAGTTTGCAAATATGAACATAATAGCAACTAGTGAGTTTATAACATTCTGCAGGTTAAGCGCATGAGAGAGAAACTGTATGCATCTCTTCTCTTCCAGGTCTGTTATACGTTTAAAATTAGTAGTTTAATATATTTTCTCAATTTTAATTTCTAGTACAAACAATATTTAGCTAGCTTCTTGGTGTACATACCTTGATTTGGTGTTATACCATTATAGGAAATCTCCTTTTTCGACACAGAAACAGTTGGTGATTTGACAAGTAGGCTTGGAGCAGATTGTCAGCAAGTATCTCGTGTTATTGGAAATGATCTTAATTTGATACTACGCAATGTTCTGCAGGTTTTTTCCTTGCCATAGTCCCTTCTTTTGTGATCTACCCGGTTCTACACACAACTTGGGGATATAATTTGCAATCACATCATCTTTTTTCAGGGGACAGGTGCATTGATTTTTTTACTGACTTTATCTTGGCGACTTGCATTAGCTACATTGGCAATCTGCTCTGTTCTAGGAACAATCATGCTGCTCTACGGCCAGTAAGAGTTATTTTGCCATTATGATATTCGCCTATATGGATAACATGCCTTTTTAAACTTTGTCCTGAGAGTCTCTTGACTTTCTTTCAATAAGGCGAAACTAATTGATGTATGAATAGGCAGATCACAGTTACATGTATACTGCTTTCGGACTACAAACTGCAAACAAAAACTTAGTGGGATAGACAATTGGATAATTTATCTCGAATCTCTGAAAATGGGCAAGTGAACAAGTTAGAAAAACAAGGACCATATTTACTCAACCATCGCCCCACAATTTTCCACATGTATTAGATGCGATTTCCCCAAAATTTTGTATATTTCCACCTTTTTTTTCCCCGGGGGGGGGGGTCCCAAAATGTATCTTAAAAGGTTTCCAATATATATGATGTAGGTAATCTCCATATCAAAGTTAAGGAACTATTACCCTCTTACAACAGTAGTGTTGAGGAGGTTCACATAGAAAAGGATCTTTTACTGCATTTACCAAAAAAGCATTTAATCGCATCAAATCTTGAAGAATGACAACCTTAAATCTAGAGAAAAATGGTGTTATGGTATCACCATGTAAGATTAGTATTCTATGCTCACAGCTGATTTTGGATGTACTTTTATCCTTTATATATTCCTATTATATTCATCTTTCAACTGCTTTTGGAGTATAAATGAAAGATAAATTTAACTTTCTTCTCTTGGATAGGTACCAGAAAAAGGCAGCAAAATTAACCCAAGAATACACTGCTTGTGCCAATGAAGTAAATTCAGACACTTTTGGGCAGCTCAAGTAAATTCTGTAGCTTGAATGATTTCTTTAGCATTAACGTTTCCTTTTTCACAATTCAGGTTGCACAAGAGACATTTTCTTTGATGAGAACTGTCCGAGTTTATGGAACAGAGAAACAAGAATTTAAAAGGCAATGATGCTACAGTAATATATTTTCATCATTTATCTAGTCTCCTGTGCTTGTCTTCTCTATTTGAAAAAGATAATAATGCCAGTAGTTGTTGATAAGCACAAAAGACCTATTCAAACTCTTTTGCTGTGGTGGACAGGTACAAGCATTGGCTGAATAAATTAGCTGACATAAGCTTGCGACAAAGTGTGGCATATGGTATTTGGAATCTAAGTTTCAACTCCCTCTATCATTCAACTCAGGTCTGAGTGCTTTTAATTTCCCCCATTGGCGAAACTTAGTTCTCTTTTTCAGTTCTCAAGAATTCTGTTTTTCTGCTACTGATTTTTCTTAGATAGAGGCGCCACTTTAAGGGAAAACTTGTCTTTTTCTTCTTTACTACTAGGGGTTAAGCTGTAATTTTCCTATATTAGTATAAATCTTAATGAAAGGGCCACGCCCATTGGCTTTTGACTGTTCCAACTTCCTCTTCTTACTGGATGTGCCAACTTTTATTTCTTTCTGCTGCTTTTTCTATTGTTGTAACTTCATATTTACTTCTTTCTTGCTCTTTGTGGATGCACCTCTGAAATATTTTAACTTCGTGATGGAACTTAGGATTTGTTGCTTCATATAGTCATGTGACTTTTAATCATCAAGCTATTGTTAATGTGTTAAGTTCCTAGGCTCATCTTTGCTCATTCTTCTGTCTATATCCTTTTTTCCTATCTCCACTTTATACTTATATATGGCAGTAACCAGCACCAAGAGTCCTCAATTGTGCAAGAGTCCTCAATTGTGCAATTGAGGACTCTTGGTCTTTGTTGTAGACAAGCCATCATTTTAATTTACTTCCTCTCTTCTTATCTCCTATAGGAGCTGGCCCTAGGTTCCTATGATGGTGTTGTTTGATAATGGCTGGAATTGTTGAACCGAGTGATTTATTGCTTTGCCTTTTATTGGATAAATGGCTGAATGACATGTTTGGATGATTACTATGCTGTCAGATATTTATCTTATGACTATTTTGTCCACCGAATAACAAAACAATAAATCATTCCTTTTAACAACTTCATCCATTACCAAATGTCCTTTAATGCATTCATTTTGCTTTTGCCTGTTCTTTCCTTTCCAATGTCAATATACCTATCTCCACTCACACTTTGGGCATGCTGCTTGGTTTCCCAATATTTTGTTCCATGTGGGTATAGCTGATCCTATAAAGTATTATAACATTCTCTTCACTTTGATTGTTCTGCATAGCATTCAACATCTTAAAACTTAAAATCACATATTTATGTCTGCCTTGCTTTAGTTTATAGGCAACATCACCATTAGGTCTATCTTTTTGGTTATTCTCTCATTTCTCCTATTGTTAGTAAGATTGCGTTCCTTACTTTCTAATGCTGAACAGGCATGTCATGAAGACTTTTGATGCTAAAACATTTTTCCATTGTTTATACCTGACATTTACTTTGTTCATAGTCTTTTCAATCAAGCATGGCATCAACAAGCAACATACACCATTGTATTCTCCCAATGCATAGTTTGCTCATATATAGTCAATGTAAAACATTGCAAGTTCAAAATTTGTGCATATATTACATTGAACTTGTTATTAAGAAAGACAAAAGACTCCCTAATCATGCATTGCATCTGAAACTTCTTAAACTCATCATTGTAGAACGTAGATAGATGATATGTCTATGTTTCTAATACATTTCTTAAATTCACTAGATTATCTCTTTTAGGGACCCTGTTTTACACTTTCACTAAGTTGGTAAATGCCTTTGAAAGGTATTTGGTCTTGATTCTAAACTTCTCTCGTTTAAATAAAAGAGACAAAGTTTGATGGTCGCTTATCTTGATTTAAAGCTAAACAAATTTGTTGATGCTCTTCTTTCATACCTTGGAATATGTTTTTCCAAAACATAGGGAATTTTTTGTCTCACTTTAAAATCAACTTATTTTTGTATAATTTGTACTATTTTAACCTCAAGAGTAAATTGGAACCATATAATCTGACATAAGAGAAACAAAAAGGACTTCCTTTCTGGAGAAGGTAATGGGTATATTTATATATCATTTACAGTAGATTACATGGATGGGCAGCTCAACCCACTATAACACATACACACATATACATATTATCTATGGAACAGAGCTGTCTCCAACTCACTATACAACCTACCTGTCCTAGGATTAGCAAGACTATCTACTATCAAATTCTGCTTTGTAAGAGTTCTTCTCTGAACTCTCATTATTGGTTAAGATCTTTGTGCTAGACTTCAAGACTTGCTGATGTAGGATGGAAGGAGAAAGTTCTATTAGGGTGAACATGGTAGGAAGAAAGAAATTAAAGATCTGAATTATAAAAGAAAGGGATTCAGATCAGAAATAGAGAAGAAAGAAAAGAAAGATTATACTTTTATGAGAAAAGAGAGAAATGAAAGAAGAAACTGACCTAAAACAACTTTTCATTCCATTAATTCCACTCTTCAAATTCAACTATGGCTTCTCTGCTTATAGAGTAATCATAATGGCTCGAATCTTCATTCATAGACTCCAATTTCAACTAGGAAACTAACCTAAAAAACTCCTGACTACTTCAAATAAGACAACCTAGTAGGTAACCCATATGGACAATCAAATATCTTTATTAACAATTTATTGACTTATAATTAAGATTCCAAAGTTACTGAAAATATCAAATCACAAAAGTTACCATAAATAGTAATTTTGATTTTTATCAAGTACATTTCTAGAAGACTTAAAGCCCTTTTTTCCAAATATGCCAAAGAACTATAAACTAAAATTGAAAAGACTCAAGCATACTAAAATTCAAAGCACTCCAAATGAGGAGTTGGGAGAAATCTGATTTCTTTCTCCCATGGATTCTTTCCTCGCTTCCCATGCCTGCATCACCCACTTTTGTGACTACTTCATTGCATTACTGAAGTTCCCTTAAGTCCCTTAAGTTACCAATGAAGATAGACAAGACTGCTTGGAAATTAAAGGTAAGTGGCCTAAGTCACCAAAGTGTGGAGTGGAAAACAGTGCCTAGTTGTTGATTGAAATGCTAAAATTTGCACACTCCAGACTTTTGGTGTTTGTTTTGTAGTTTTATTATTTTTTCTTGTATGTGTGTATTTTTCTAGGGGGTGGGTAGATGGGAGTAGGAATGGCAAGAGGGTAGGTTTGTGGCAGGGATCATACTCCTCGTCCCCGGACCCAAGTTTTACATTAATCCCTGTCGGGGAAAAATTTAGCCTCCACCCCCAGTCCCCAACGGAGATGGTTCCTCATCAGGGACCTGAATCCCCAAATTTTTTAATTAAAAGTTTCTTTTTGGAAAAATATTTATTATAAATGAAAATTTTAAAATATAAATAATATTTTAAATATATTTGATACATAATATAAATAATATTATATATTTTATATATAATCGGGGTTGAGGCGGGGTTGGGACTTCATTTCCCGTCCCCGATCAGGTATTTGTATTAGTTCCCACCCCTGCCCCCATCCCCACCAAAGCAATATCTATCCTCATCCCCGCTAGGTTAGGGAGGCAAAGTACCTGGTGGGGATGAGGAAAATTGCCATCCCTAGATGAGAGAGAGACTGATCTAGGATGTTTTGAAGAATAAATGTGTAAAGGAGGGGAGGAGGGTGACATGGTGCTCTAACAAATAAATCTTACCATATCTGTGCAAGGAAAAGAGAAAAGGCAGTGGCATGTATTTAAGATGTTGGCATTTTTCTTCTTCCCCCCTTTTCTTTCTTTATTTTTTGTGAAATGTGATCCATTTAACATGCATTAAGGGGGGATAGTAAAAGGTAAATTGAAGCATGTCCTGCATAGGCTGCAACCCCACATGTGTATTTCCAACTCACTTGAAGTCCCATATTATTCCTAAGTTTATATCAATATATTAGAAACTGCAATCCTTGAACTTTGGTAGTACGTTTTTTGGGCATCTATGCTAAATAACCATGGGATGATGTCTTAAAGCAAGAAAATCTCTTCTTTAAGCTGTTTTGGACCTTCTAGTGGTTGAGGATGAGAAATGAGTCATGTACTTTCTATTTGTGGCTTTCATTACACTGGAACCTGTAGAGGTGTAAATCGGGCCGTGCCGCCCATGGCCCGACATGGCCTCACCCGAATTTGGACCGGCCTGGCACGATGGTCCGAGCTATGCTGGGCCTGGGGTTCCAGGTCCACGGGTCGACATGGCATGACATGACTGTGCGTGCCATGCCGCCTGCGGCTCACGCGCAGGCATGGCCCAGACCGCAGCATGACAAGCGGCACGACATGGCCCGTGAGCCTATAGCGGGCCGCACTCGGCCTGCCCGATGAACTAGCCATAGTTTCAGCTTTTTGGGTTTTTTTTTACAGAAATACCCCCCAACAGCTATATAGGGGGGTATTTATGTATTTTGGTTTTGGGGGGGGGAGAAAGAATGGCACAAATGCCCCCCAACAGCTATATAATAGCTAGTTTAGGGGGGCATTTTGGGTAAAATGATAAATAACTTTATAATGACCAAAATACCCCTCCCAACAACTAAAAAATAGCTAGTTTTTAGGGTATTTTGGGCAATTGAATTATTTTCAATTCCTATAAATAGCCCTATCCTCCACCATTCTCATCACACCAATTCAACAATTCTCTTAATCTCTTCTCTAGTTCTCATACTCTCTCAAGTCTCAATCTCTCAACCTCTCATACATTTTTTGATTCTCCAATTCTCAACTTTATTGAAGTTTCAACACGAAGAAGGCTTGCTCAACAACTCAAGTATCTCAAGTTAGCAATTTGGGGGGCTTGGACTATTGGAGTTGAAATGCTTCAATTGTTGAAATCAAGTTGGGATTCCAAACCAACAATCCGGGTAAGTGCAATTAAATTAATTTTTATTTTTTTAGAAGCTAAAAAAATGGCTGGCTCCTCCCAAAACCAATTCCCTAACATGTTCAGTGTCGACGATATTCAGTCGCAGCATGATAGTGTTAGCACCAATATGGATGCTATGGATGTTGACGGAATTTCCATTCCTAGTACTGATACTAGGGAAAGAAAAAGAAGGCCACTAAGTTTATTGGCCTGGTTTGGAAAATATTTGAAGTAAAGGAGGTTTAGGGGAAGGGAAAAAGAGTTGTTTGCCAAAAATGTAGGAAAAACTTTAGCTATTGTAGCAAGGGTGATAAGCCATTTGGACAGACATTTGCTCACCCATGAGAAAGAAGAAGGGAGAGAAACAACGCAAACACAAATTGGGTGCGGGGGGGGGGGGTTGGTACTTTTTAAATATTCTCAAGAAAAAATGAGGCAAGAATTAACAAAATGTACATGCTGAATAACCATTTTTGTTAGCTGAAGATACTAAACTTGAAAAATGGTTACGTAATTCTGTAAATCCACAATTTTAAAAAGTTTCTAGGAATACTATTAGATCAGATGATTTAAAATTTTTTTATTCATATAAACAAAATTTAATTTGTATGTTATCAAATCTTAATTCTAAAGTTGCAATTACTTTTGATATTTGGACTTCTAAATTTAACATACATTATATTTGTGTTACCGGTCATTTTATTGATGAAAATTGGCTTTTAAATAAAAGAATTTTAAGCTTTACTAGGCTTGAATGGCCACATACTAGCCCAATTATTTCTGTAAGTATTTTAAATACTCTACATGCTTATGGAATTGACAATAAATTATTTTCTATTAGTTTTGATAATGCTAGTAATAATGATTCAAAAATAAATATTTTAAAATCTCATTTGAAACCATGTTTAAATGGTAAGTTATTTCATATTAGATGTGAATGTCGCATCTTAAATTTATGTACTCAGGATGCTTTAAATATTATTCTACTCATATTTCTAAAATTAGAAATTGTATTATATATTAAAAGTTCTGGAGCAAGAAAACAAGAATTTAAATATTTATGTCAAAATTATGGTTTAAAATATAAACATTTTATATCAGATGTTAAACATGGATGGAATTCTACCTATGCTATGTCAGAAAGTTGTATTTCTCACAAACAAATTCTTAGTTTTTTATAATTTAAAAATGCCTACTGATATTTTTGAGGAAGACGGGGAAATGGCAATTTGTATAAGAGATTTTTTAAAACATTTTTATGATGCAACTAATGAATTATCGGGTATTTATTATCCAACTAGTTGTAATTTAGCTTATCAATTAATGATGATTAGTGATTGTTTTGCAAAATATAGAAAGAATCCGCAATTTAAAAGTATTGTTGAAATAATGGAAAATAAATTTAAAAAATATTGGGAGAACATTTCTCCTATTTTTTGAAGTAATAGGGAATAATAAAAATTCTATAACTTGTACAACTGCATTTTCCACTTCTGAACTTGAGTCCAGTAGTGGAAGAGACAAACTTTTTTTATTTAATAAGAGGCAGAAATCCACTGCCTTGACAACAAGTTCATTTATTGAACTTAATTTTTATTTACAAGCAATTTTTTCTACTTTAGGTGATTCTTCCTTCACCTCGGAGGGAACAAATAATTTTGATATTTTAGCCTGGTGGAGTGAACATGCAAAAAACTGTCCAGTTTTCGCCACCATGGCATGTGATCTACTAACCCCTCCGGTGTCTACAGTTCCATTGGAGTCTTGTTTTAGTGCAAGTACTAAGGTATTGGATGACAAGAGAAGTTGTATGAATGATGAAAGTCTAGAGAAGTGCATCTGCTTTAAAGATTGGTTAGATGCTGAAGATAGATTACAAGACAAAGGAGGGCATGACACTACACTTGATGTTTCACTTGAAGCAGATGATCAAAGTCAAGAACAATAGGAGGAAATGATGAAGTCAATATTTTTTATATATTCAATAGTTGTATAGCATTTTTTCAAATTATTGTAAATTTTGTTTTAATTTTATTTAATTTATTTGATATTTTTTAATAACGTATTTTTTTATTTTCAATTTGTAACTATATTGTATTTTTATATTTTATTAATTATTCCATTTTTCAATTTTCATTCATCCAACCATTGTATGCTTTGTATCATTCAAATTTAAATGAAATAAAATTCCTATTTTTCTTTCAATTTGTTATTCACTTAGAGGTTTTGTCTCTTTGACTTCTTATTTGGTTAAGGGTTTTTTTTTTTTATTTCTTTGTTAGATTTCTTATTTTTTCAAATAGTTCCCAAAGGAAAGTTAAATATTTTAGTTTTACTTAACAAAGAAAAGAGGAAAGTGCTTATGGAAGGTAGCAAGAGCAGCTACAATATGGACTATATGGGAGGAAAGAAACCTAAGAATTTTCTCTGAAAAAAGTAAATCAAAGGAGGAAGTTATTGGAGCCATAAAAATCAGAACTGCACATTGGGTGAAGACCATGGAGCTATTCAAAAATTTCTCCACGAATGAGATTCTAAGAAGTTGGGTTGAAGTAGTACAAACAGATGCACCCAAAGTAATTGTGAGAGTGGAATGGAAGCCACCGACATTGAACAAATTAAAACTAAATTTTGATGGCAGTTCTTTTGGTAACCCAGGAAGGGCAGGCATAGGGGGTGTGATTAGAAATCATCTGGGTGTGGTGGTGGCACTCTTTTCAGGACCAATAGGTATTGGTGACTCAATACAGGCTGAATCTCTAGCCCTACTTCAAGGTCTAAAGATGGCTGAGCAGATAGGAACAACAAACTTAGAAATAGAAGGAGACTCACTACTGGTCATTTCTTGGGATAAAAAGATCATATGAGTACCTTGGAAGCTCAAATTTATCTTCAGAGAAAAACATACTTGCAAGGAGGATCAACTCTCAATTTGGTTGGGTCAAATGGAATGCAAATGGGATGGCGGATACCCTAGCAAAACAGGGGGCAAATAGATCTACCTTGTATTGGGCAGAATTGTAGTTGATTGTATGTGGTTGCAGATTAGATTAATGCTTTTTTGCAACCTATAACAATTGTAACTGATTGTAACTTTTTCTCTGTTATTAATTAAAAAATTTCTTGCTAATAAAAAAAAAGAAACCAAAAATAAAAAATGCCAAAAAAAACCAGTCTGGCCCAGTTGGGTCCATGCCCAAGGCCCGGCCTGTGGCCCAGGTCCACAGCACAGCCTACAGCCTGCAGCCTGCCCGGCCCAGGCCTGTAGCACGGCACAGGCCCGCATGGGCTTGGGCCATGGGCCATGCTGGGCCGACCCCCTAAATTATCCCTGGGGAGGGCGGCATGACCCGTTTTACACCTCTAGGAACCTGTGAAAGTATTTTATTTTGTAGTTCATGGATGAAGGTCTTCCCATTTTAATACATGTCAAACATCAATCATTTGATTGGATTTAAAATACAATCTATCACTGGTTTCCTGATGCACATTCACATATAGTTGCATGCTTATAAAAATCTATAACCGTGTAAAATCATTCTTTAAAACATAGCATACTGTTGGAGTTCAATTGGATTTAAATGAATTTATAATTCGTTGGAACATGTTGAGGCTTAATTCAGTTGTCAATTAATTCCATTGGATAAAACCAAATGCTTGGCACATGGTTTTACATGAGAAGTGAATTTCTATGTTTATCTCTGAGTTATTTAAACTAATTTGTCAAATTCAATTTTTATAGGTAATAGCTGTGGTGGTAGGTGGAATGTCAATTATGGCTGGTCATATAACTGCAGAGCAACTTACAAAGTTTATATTGTATTGTGAATGGTTGATCTATTCAACATGGTGGGTGGGAGACAATTTGTCATCTTTAATGCAGTCTGTTGGGGCAAGTGAAAAGGTCTTTCAAATGATGGATCTATTGCCTAGTAACCAATTTGTATCAGAAGGCAAGCACTCAATCTTTTCAATGAAGGCTCCTGCTAGGTTTTATTTTTTAAGAATTATTCTTTAGTTTAACTCTTTCAGATTTATCAGTGGTTAGTTCTTGTTTGATATGTGGGTGGGAAAAGTGACCTTGCAACTGATAAATACACTACTGTTTCCCTTCTTAAGTTGTTAGTAAGAGTTAAGAACATCTGCATAAAATTCCTTTGATAACTAAGAGACAGATTTGTGATAGCTGTTGTTTTTACAAGCATTACATGTTGAATGGTAATCTTTATCTGTCTTTGCATTCCATTTCATTCTTCATGATTAATAATAAAGAAATTCTTGATGGAGGGACCTTTTCGTTATATCAGGGGTTGATGAATGTTTCGGAAATGTTAGCGAAACTTTTGACAATTTAATCAAATTTAACATTCAGTGCATTATCTTGCATCCTGACATATTTAACTTCATAATAGTCTGGTTGTTTGTCATATTAAATGTCATATATTGATGCATTTGAATTGGAAGCAATAAATATGCTAGTAATTTTGTCTTAATGCTGCATATGTTTTTGATGTCTACTTTCCTTTTTTATATGTATAAATGTCATGTGTTTGTGAAAATATCTTTCTATTTCTTTTAAATTTCTGATATTGTTAATGCTCCAATCTTTTACCTGATCTTCTAGCTAAAGTTAACAAATTGGTTCCATTGCAGAACGTGTTAAATATGTAAAATTTCTTAAAGATTCAATTGGGCATTATGCCTTATTGGTACTAACTATTCAATGTAGATAGGGCATTCATTTGAACAATATTTGCCAACTGAACTTTCATCTGCTGGATACTCTTTATTAGTTAAATAAGGAGACCTTCTTAGATTGTTTTCATTTACTCTTCAGGATAACATGGTGTAGAAACTAGAGGATTTTCTGGCTGACCTAATTGTGTGTGGTTATATTTATTTGTTATGGTGCTTCTATATTCCATGTTTTGTGTTTTTATTTTACATATTGTACTTTATCAGATAAGTTGGTTCCTTTGTAATAAGATATATGTTTTTTTTTCTGTATTTTCATACATACATTTAGTTGTATACTTGTATTAGTGGTTGCTGAACAGAACCAAATTTCTTTTCAAGCGGACTAAAAAGATATGTTGCCTTCAGAGACTTGGTTAACTTTTTTTTATTATTCATTTTTTTTTTTTGTGAATATATATTCACTTGCTAGCCTTGCAGTTTCCCATCATCATCATCTAAACCTTACTGCAACTATATGGGGTCAGCTACATAATCCCGTTTTGCCATTCCATTCTGTTTAGTGTCATATCAATTGTTAAATCACTAGCACTTAAATCATTTCTTATTACTTCAACCCATATCCTGCTAGCCTTTCTGTTTCTGGAAGGACTAAATATCTAATTAGTCATTTCTAATGGTGCCTTGTTACCATATTGCAGGAGTGAAATTGCAAAGGTTGATGGGGCACATTAAGTTTGTGAATGTATCATTTCATTATCCTTCAAGGATAACGGTATATGGCTTATTTATTTATCATTTATGTTATTTAATGTGAAACATTGTCATCATCATCATCATCCAAGCCTTATCTGAACTATATGGGGTCAGCTAATGTGAAACATGAGATGCACTTTTTTTTGTCCATGTAATCTATTGTATAAATTCTAACTGCATGAAGTTTTCATATGCATAACTAAGGTGAGAATATGCCAAATAATGAATGCACCTGATATGCATAGTATTTTTCTTATGTAGGTATTGGAGCTACAGATGTTAAATTCCATCTACAAATCAAAGTAGCTTGTCAAGAAACATTATCATATTAAAACTGATAAATTCTTCTTCTATAGCGCTAGTCTTCTATATATTGCAATTGCAAAGATATGCTTGATTATCTTCTAATAATGATCAATTTTACTAGAAGAATGGAGAGGAGACATTAAAAAATCACCACTTGAAGCTAAAAATAAGCACAGAAAGTGAATGATCTTTGAAAGAAGAAAAATAAGAACCATCCTTTAGTTGGCAAGGGTGCGTCATTAGGGATGGGAATATGGGATCATGGGGCTGAGGTGATGATCATGGTTTACTCTGGACTCTGAGGTTCTTGCCTGGTATTAAGAGAACAGAGAGGAAGGGGATCTCCAGAATATCAACTGGTTCCAGTATTAGAATGTTCCTTGAAGCATGAGACATCATATTATAGAGGCAATGGCTTTCTTATCCATTTGCTCCTGGTTTTGGTGGATTCCAAATTACACTAAATCTCTAGCCAATAATCTTGCTAAGGAGAGGGAGATTCCAGAATGACTCTCTGTCAGGGTCCCAATATTCCTGCTTGTGCTATTTTAGCCTTTTCTTATTATTTATTTGTGTTTACATTTCTAGGCTGACCTCCTCTATTTTTGTGGATTTAGGTTCAAAATTTTTTTACTTATCTCTTCTTATTATTAGATCTTTGCCATTGATTTAAGTAAAAAAGAAAAGTAGGGAGCAGAAGAAGTACATGTTGAAACTAGTAATGCTTTTGGGAAGATCATTTGGTTATGAGCTATCGTACCTGAGGTTTGATGGGGATGTCGTGTTCAAACTGGAAGCAAAGGCACAAGCCCCTCTGATATACTATGTAGACCTCTGGGGGTCTTTGGTCAAGTTGCCATGCCATCCAATCATGAGAGATGGATTACCTTCAATCAAAACCCTCTCCAAACTAAGAGAAGGGGAACTTAAGGATGTGAAAATGGTGAATTTCTGCTCATGTGGAATCTCCTTGCCCCTTAGACCACAAAGTAATTGTTCTTGAATGTTGAAAGTTCTGATACCAAATAGTCCCAAACAAAACAACCATTAAAAATAATATTTGCAGCCAGGGAAGACCAAATGCTCACAAGTACTGAAGCAGAATTGGTAGTCTAAATATGCTATTGATCACTTACATGTGACCCATGGAAAATCCCAAGGGGAATAAAGAGGGAAAATGCTAGAATGAAACAATCTTTGAAAAGCTTGTAACTTCTTTACCGCAATAATCCCTTTGGACAGAACATGATCTGTAAATGATGGAAAGCATTCCCCAATCCCCAGACAATAAAGATAAGAACATATGAGTTTATGCATGCACATTGTATACAATAGACATCCAAATACACTCCCACAGGTATAAGTTGTTTGAACTTGGTGTGTTATTTTGTTTTTGGATGTAGAGAACACTGATGTGGGCCCCACTGCAGTGGTCCCCACTGTGTTCGTAGGACAGCAGTGCAGTTATTTGTTTCAGTTATAGTAGTGTCAGTTTGTTAATTCAGTTGTTATTTATTTCAGCTTTTATTTACTTTATTTATTATGTAAGTACTDAGRGHHRRTGTGTCCTTTCCATTATGTACTAAACATAACCTATAAATATTAAGAGAGTGG